TATGGTGATTCGCCTGGTGTATGAATTTGGAGACTAGGTGTTCTCATAAACATGTTAGGTCGTGGTTGTGAACCACGTATATTGGTCTTGTGTGGTAACGATTGGAGGTTTGGAGACCCGAGTGGATCCTTATTGCTTAGTATGCTAGATTTTGGTGTGATGTTGGTATGGACTGGTTGTCTCTGTGTCGTGTTATTCTAGGATGTTGTGCTAAGGCAGCGGCATTGCCTACGCTGGGAATGAAACGGATTAAGTGGCGAGGTTCGACGGATTATACACCTAATAGGTTGGTTTCATTTTTTTGAAGACCCAGCGGATGGCTGTGAAGGGCTGTCTTTCTTATTTGGCCTTCGTGATGGATGTCAGTGCAAAGACTTCTACCATTGATTCAGTTCTGGTGGTAAGGGATTTTTTGGATGTGTTTCCTGCTACCAGGCATGTCTCCAGACAGGGTTGTTGATTTCGGTATTGATTTGGTGTCGGGGACCATATCGTATGGCACCGATGGAGTTAAAGGAGTGGAAGGAGCAACTTTAGGAACTCCTTGACAAGGGGTTCATTGGTAGGTCAATATGGATGTGTGTTCTAAATCGAGTCGGCTTGGTTGACTCTCCGAGTTGTATTGTTGAGGGATGTGTTGATTCGATTGTTATTGAGCTTATTAGTGATCTGGGAGATCTATGAGTTGTCTTTCCGTGTTGCAATACGTTAGGAATTGTTTGTTATAGGCACATGTGGTGCGGTTATATTAGGGCCTCTTAGTGGAATTCGAGCGGGAAGAGTATTGGGTATTGCTCGACAGATGGCATATTGGTTGTGTCTTTTTAGGTTTGTGTAATGTTATGTCAATTGCTTCGCCGTGGTTATGATGATTTGCTTTGGTTCTAGACATCAAATTGCACGTGGTTGTCGATTTTGAGCATAGTGACTTGGGGTGTTTCATGTGGACCAATGTTTGGATAGGGTCACGCATTGCAGCAAGTTATATAGAGGTATGATCCTTCGGGTTAGATTCATGTATTCTGGTTCGACGATGTGTGATGAGTTCTCAACATTGTGTGTGGTGGTACTGGTGAGCTTGCGGTACATCTCTCTCATTTGAGTCATTTTCATGATTTGAGTATGTTCGGATTGTTGCTTATTGGTGCGTGGATTGCACGAGTTGTGGCTTTAGTTTGTATTGATGTGTCATGTCACCAGAGTAGTTGTGTTGGATTAGAAGAGATCGTTGGGATCTATAATGAATAAAACGGATTCGATTTCAGCATGTTGGAAGGATAATATTGATGTTCAGCTTAGAAATTTGCTATGATCCTTGCCAAAAGAGAAGTGGCTTCACGAATGGTTGATATGAGGAGTGGTTATGACTTTCTACGTGTTTCATTTATCACTGGCAGTATACGGAAGTGTTGGAATGAGGCTTTATTTGATAAAAGGCTTATTATCAAAATTCGGATATTTTGAGCAACTGTCGTGATTAGAAGTTATCGCTACAAGTGTTTGAGTTATGTGGTATATCAAGTAATTGCACCTGAGGTTGCAGGTATGGATATTACATCTTGTTCGGTCTTATTCAAAGATAAATGTGAGAATCTAATCTTGTAGATGATTTCATAAGTGGAGATGTTGTTCTAAGGTTTATGGGCTAGGTTGGATTGCAAAATTTTAGTTACATTGTGTTATCAGACCTATATAAGGTAGGGTGACATGGGATCACCCCCGAGTATGTTCATAGTAAGGTTTCACAGCGATTTGATGGTTTTCGGAACAACTCTGGGCACGTTCGAGGATGAACGTATGTTTAAATGAGGGAGGATGTAACAACCCAACCGGTCGTTTTGAGCTTTTACACTTCGCTCGCCAGTTTTCGGGCGTGACTAGCCCCGTGTGATGTATTATGACTTATGTAAATCGTCGATTTTGGTTTTCAGGGTAGTCACAATGAATTTGGAAAAATAGTTCTTAGTTTGAAGCTTAAAATTTTAAAGGTTTGACCAAATTTTGACTTGTTAGCATATGATCTTGGATTGGAATTTTTATGATTTGGTTAGCTCCGTTAGGTGATTTGGGACTTTGGAGCGTGATAGGAATACATTTTGGAGGTCCGTGGAAGGTTTAGGCTTGAATTGGCGAAATTGGAATTTTGGCATTTTCCGGTTGATAGGTGAGATTTTGATATAGGGGTAGGAATGGAATTCCAGAGGTGGAATAGGTCTGTTATGTCATTTTTGACGTGTGTGCAAAATTTCAAGTCATTCGGACGAGGTTTGATAGACTTTTTGATCAAAAGCGGAATTTAGAAGGTTTTGGAACCTTAGGCTTGAATCTGATGTCATTTGGTTGATTCGATGTTGTTTTAGGTGTTTCGGAGATTGGTATAAGTGTGGATAGTGGTATATGACTTGTTCATGCTATTGGTTGGGGTCCCGGGGGCCTCGAGGTGATTTTGGATGGTTGACGGAAAATTTGGAGTTGTGAACTCTGTCATAATTGCACCTGCGGCTTGGGGACCACAGGTGCAGGCTCGCAGATGCGGAATTGGGCGAATTGGTCTAGAGGTGCAGGTGCGGAAGTTTCATCGCACCTACGTGACCGCATGTGCAGAAGGGAATGCACAGGTGCGTCCCCAAGGGTTTAAGTGAAAACCGCATGAGTGGTTGGTTGAACGTAGAAACGGCTCCGCAGGTGCGAAAACCCTGGGCCAGAAAGTATATAAACCCTCCTTCGTGATTTTCAGCCTTTCTTCACCATTTTTAAGTCGATTTTGGAGCTTTTTGGGAGATTTTGAAGAGGGAATTCAAGGGAACTTCGTTGAGGTATGATTGTTGAACCTACAACTTGTTCCTATGACATTATTTTACTAATTAGGCTTGAAATAAATGGAAACTAAGGGTTAAAAATTGGAGAATTAGGGCTTTGCATTGAAGACCTTGATTTGAGGATTTGAGGGGTCATTTATGGACGGATTTTGGTACTTTTGATATGAATGAACTCTTGAGGGATTAAGAATTCTATTGATGTAAATTTTGTCAGATTTCGAGGCGTGGGCCCGGGTTTCGAGTTTGATCAATTTCGGGAATTTTGGTGTAAATTGGTTATTTTCGAGTGGATTTTGTTCCCTTAGCATATTTTGAAGGTATAAATCTGTTTTTGGATAGATTTGGAGCATCCAGAGGCCGATTCGAGAGGCGAAGGCATCACGAGCTAGAGTTTGGACGGGATAGAGGTAAGTAAGGATTGTAAATGTTTGTCCTGAGGGTATGAATCCCCAGATTTCACATCGTTGTGCTACTTTGAGGTGACATACATGCTAGATGACAAGCGTGGGGTTGTGCATCATTAGGGATTATGACTTAGTCTATCCCGTATGACTGTTAAACCGTGTATTTGATTGAAAACTGTTTGATATCATTGTGTTTTGGGAAGTATTATCATATTTTGGGCTGAATGCCATATTTAGGCCTCGTGCCAACTGTTTTGGACCCTTAGGGGATTTTTACTACTATTCCTCACTACTTTGACTTCATATGTGTACTCAGTCATGGTGTATTCTACGGTTTTCATAACTCAGCCATATTTACTCCGTTTTGATATTTGAAATGATATTTTAGGCTGAACATCATGTTTTTCTGTTGCCCGAGTGGCATGAGAGATTTATGATTATGAGGCTGAGGGCCTATGTTGTGAGGATATTATGGGATCAGGCTGCGCGCCGCAGCAGTGTGGTACTGATTTATGATTATGAGGCTGAGGGCCTGATTTGTTACACCACGAGGTAGCTTGATATGAGGCCGAGAGCCTATTTGATTATGTCACGAGATGGCTTGTTATTGTGCTTGGGCCGTAAGGGGGCCCTCCCGGAGTCTGTACACCCTCAGTGAGCACCAATACCTAGTGTGAGTGATGTGATATAGCCCGAGGGGCTGTTGTTGTTTCATGTTGTTGCCCGAGGGAGTGTTCTTGATCCATGTTTACTCGAGAGGAGGTTCTTGATTCATGTTATGCTCGAGGGGCTGGTTACGAGTGATTGTGAGGTAGCCCGAGGGGCTAGTTCTGTTCATATTATGCCCGAGGGGCGGTTTGTACATGTTTTGCCCGAGGGGCTGTTTATGTTTTCTATCATTTATACTCACTATTTTATCACTCGTTTGAAACCATTGAAAGTTGTTTTAAAATGATTTTTATTGAAGCTGAGCATAATTTACGAGGTAAATGATTTGTGTACTGCTTTGGAAATGATCTACATTTAATGTAGTGTTATGACGTGGTTTACGTGTTTTCTTACTCCCCGCGCCTTGTGTGCAAATTTAGGCATTTTTGAACCCGGTAGCGCGTGTTGATTGCTCAGTGGGGGAGTCATCGGAGTTAGCGAGGTAGCTGCCTGACATTCGCTACACTGCTTTTCTCCTTCTTGTCTTCCTTAGACTGTATTTAGTATATTTTTAGACTCTTTGTTGTATTCAGACCTTAGTAGATGCTCGTGACTTGTGACACTCCGATGTCGGGCTTGTGTATTTATTCCACACTATTCATTTTGACTTACATTTTGAGATATATGATCAATTAAAGGCTTAAAAATGATTGTTATTAATTAAATGGTTAATTCGGGAGTTGTGTCGGCTGACCTAGTTTCACGATAGGCGCCATCATGACCGGGTTGGTCTTAGGTTCGTGACATAAAAGAGGTTTTGTAAAAATATGAGCAAGTTGAGATTCAATACTAATGAATTCTAATATATTCTTACCTTTTGCAAAATGGTCAGGGATAAAATGATGCTTGATTTCTATATGCTTTGCTCTAGAGTGATGCACATACTTTTTTGACATACATATCACACTAGTATTATCACAAAATATAGGAGTGAAGGTAAGAGATAAATCATAGTCAAGAAGTTGATGCATGATCCAAAGAACTTGTATACAACAACTTCCAACAGCTAAATATTTTGCTTTAGTTGTTGACAAGGAAACACAATTTTATTTCTTGCTATGCCAGGAAACTAGTGCATTTCCCAACGTTGGCATGTGCCACTAGTACTTTTCCTGTCGATATTATTGCCTACAAAGTCTGCATCTGAAAAACCTTTTAAAACAAAATTTTTAGCGTAAGCATACCATAATCCTAATTTAGAGGTCCCAATAAGATATCTAATAATACGTTTAAGTGCAGTAAGATGGGATTCCTTTGGAGCCGACTGAAATATTGCACATTTACACACACTGAACATTATATCTGGTCGACTAGCAGGAAGACATAATAAAGATCCAATCATTCCTCTATACATTATTTCATCAACACTTTTTCCATTATCAACTTCTTCTAGCGTAGTTGTTGGACTCATTGGAGTCCCAATGGATTTAGAATTCTCCATGCCAAACTTCTTTAAGAGTTCCTTGATGTACTTGGTTTGACTAATATAGATCCCTTTTGGAGACTGTTTGATTTGCAGTCCAAGAAAGAAAGTTAGCTCTCCCATTATGCTCATTTCGAATTCTCCTTTCATAGCATGAGAGAATTCTTCACATAGTACAGAGTTAGGACTTCCAAAGATAATATCATCAAGATATATTTGAGCAATAAGATTACATGAATTTTAGTGCTTAATAAACGGAGTTGTATCGATATTACCTCGTTTGAAACCTTGATTTAGAATGAGGGAGCTTAATTTTTCATACCAGGCTTGGGGAGCTTGCTTGAGTACATATAGAGCTTTAGTTAGCTTGAGTACATGACTGTGAGGGAGTCATTTACAAATCCAGGAGGCTGCTTCACATATTCTTCTTTAGAGATGTATCCATTTAAAAAAGCACTTTTCACATCCATTTGAAATAGTTTGAATCTTTATGAGTAGTAAAAGCAAGTAATATTCAAATAGATTCCAATCATGCTACAAGTGCAAATGTTTCGTCGTAGTCGATTCCTTCTTGCTGAGAGTAACCTTGAGAAACTAGCTGTCCTTTATTTCGTACCACTTGTCTGGATTCATTCAACTTATTTCTAAAGACCCAGTTAATTCCTACAATAGAAGCATTTGATGGTTTTGGAACCCATTTCCACACTTTATTTCTTTCAAATTGATGAAGTTCATCTTTCATTGCTTTGATCCAATAAACGTATTTCAGTGCCTCATCAACTTTCTTTAGCTCAAGTTGTGAAATTAAAGCCATGTGAGAGTTGAGCTTCTGAGATTTTCTGGTAGTGATGCCTTCCTGTGAATATACAATAATGAATTTTTGAGGATAACGATGTTCACTTTTCCACTCCTTTGGGACGTTTGTGGTTGGTTCCCTTTCCTTAGTAGTCGACTGTTCTGTATAAGAAGATTCTTGAATTTCAATGTGCTCCTTAGTTGATTGATTTTGCTGACTGGTTGGCTCATCTTGACAGTCTTTTCCTATGACAAAAGACTTTGGGATAATAGAAATTTCCTCATCTTCAGGAAGTTTTTCATTCCTTGATCGAGGGTTAGTATCAACAAAAACAACATGAATTGATTCTTCAATGCAGAAGGTTCTTTTATTGTAAACTCTATAAGCTCTACTTGAGAAAGAGAGTATCCAACAAATATACCTTCATCGATTTCTGGATCAAACTTACTCAAATTTTCCTTTCTATTATTGTGGATGAAACATTTCATCCAAATCGGTGAAAGTAACTGATGTTTGGTTTCTTACGCTTATATGGAGTCTTTTTTAGAATGGGTTGAATCAAATACCTATTAATAATATGACAGGCTATGCTCACAGCTTATGCCCAGAAGTGGTGGGGTAGAGAGTTTTCCACAATCATGGTTCTTGCCATGTCCTCCATGATCACTTCTTATAGTGGAAATGTAGTATCCTTTCTTATGTTGAACCTTCTTGCAGAAAACTTCAAAGTTCCTTAGAGCTTCATCGTTATGACTTAGAAAAATAACCCAAGTGAAACAAGAAAAATCATCTACAATAACAAAAACATATTTTCTACCACCAATGCTACCAGTTCTTGTTGGACCAAACAAATCCATATGCAAGAGTTGAAGAGGTTTAGTAGTAGAAACAATGTTTTTGATTTTGAAAGATGAGCGAATTTGTTTTCCTAATTGACATGCATCACATATGTGATCTTTTGAAAAATCTAGTTTCGAAAGACCAATGACAAGATCATGTTTGGTGAATTTTTGAACAGTATGCATGCTAGAATGGCCATGCTTTCTATGCCATACCCAGACATCATCAATCATAGATGCTAGACAGATTTGATTACCAAGATTATCTATATTACTGATAGTATAGATATTTCTGTCTCTATTACCAGAAAGAATAACTTTACCTGATTCGTCTTCTATAAACCATCCATGTTTCTTAAAACGAACCTCTTAGTCATGGTCACATAGTTGACTGATACTGAGAAGATTGTAACCAAGTTCATCAACCATGTACACTTCATCTACCTCACATGTTGAGCTGAGAGGAACTTTTCCAACTCCAATTACGTTTCCTTTTGATTTATCTCCAAAGGTAACTGTTCCTCCATTTAGTTTGATAACTGTTTTGCATAACGATTTGTCGCCAGTCATATGTCTAGAACATACACTGTCAAGATACCATTTTCCTTTTCGATTCTTCTCGCGGTGTTCCTGCAAAAAGGATTACTTGTTTTTAGGTAACCAAGCCTTCTTGTGTCCTGAATGGTTAGATTTCTAAGTATTAACTTGACTAGAAGATTTAAGTGGTCGGACCTATCTCCTGTTGTCCTTGAAACTACAATGGTTAGAAGTGTGCCCAAGTTTTCCACAATAGAAGCAAGAAGGATTATTGGGATTTTCAGAGCCTTTTTCTGCTCTGATTCTATTCCTGCATTGGTCAGTGTTATGACCATTTTTGCCATAATAGAAACATGCAATAGGATTTCTAGTTCTAATAAAAGATGTATGAGGAACAATTTGATTTGATTTGACAGAATGGGTACTCTAATTTGAATACATAGTATGGCCCCAGAACGCTAAAAGGTGAGGGAACTAGAGTTGTCATAAGTCGTCTTCAACTCTTCTTTCTTTACTCCTTTCCATATCGAGGCTAATAACTAAAGGATAAGCGTATGGAGGAGTAGAGTTAGTTATAGCTACACAGGACCTATTGCCTCCACATCTCCTTAAGGTAGAAGTGTTTATAGCCGCAATGATATAACCAAGAATACTCATCCGAGCCGCAGGAACATGTACATACGGAATACGAGAATTTCCACCTTGTTGAAGATCTAGAGGTGCTACCCGAAGGTCAATCATTCCCAACTTTGATATGAAGGTATGAGGTAGATTACAAGGGGGTACATTAGTCAAATAGAGGGCTCCTATGACTGGTGGATTTACACAATCCATTTAGTTGAATTTGAAGTTCATTAACTTCATCTTGAAGCATATTATGCTCAATTTCACAGACTTCCAACTTCAAGGCCCAGTCTTTCTTTTCTCATTTGATTTTTCTGAGTTCATTTAGAAATCTCTCAATATCTACAAGAGCAATATCAATGAATTCTTAGAGTTCATAACAATTAGGACATGTAGGAAGACGTACCTCACTAGTTCCTTCGTCTGTCCTGAGACCAAGTTCACCTGATTCTTCTTCCACATCCATTCCTTCATCTTCCACATCCATTCCTTCATCTTCCATGAGCCCAAGTTCACATGAGTTCTCATTATTGTCTTCTTTTATGTCCATAAAACACATATTTGTAATTTCTTCATGGTCAAATTCATCATCATCACTGCAGGCTCAAAAAGACTTTCTTTTGAAAGTTCTTGCTCAGTTTCTTCTTCAGTTCGGGGCATTCAGCTTGAATGTGTCCATGTTTCCCACATTCATAGCACCTTCCATCATTTTTATCATTATCATTATTCATCCTTCCTTTTATGAAGTTTGATTTACCTCTCCTGCTATTTCTGCTTTTCTTTATCATGCTCGTTACAACTTGAGAGAGCATGACTTTGTTTTCATCATGTTCTCCTCCTTCCTCTTCCTCTTCATTTTCTAGTTCAGCCACATTCGCTTTGAATGCAACTATTTTCTTCTTTTCTTGTTGAATCTGTTTATCCAAGTGAGTTTTCTTGAAGGCAATTAGATCACCTCTAATTTCATCATAGGACATCTTGTCAAGATCCTGACTAACTAAAGCAATAACTTTGCATTGCCAAATTGTGGGAAGACTTCTTAGAATTTCTCTAACATGTTCTCTGCTTTTTATTGGTCTACCAAACGACTTTAAATCTCCAAGTATTTTTCCGAATCTTGAAAACATTTCCTCTACTGATTCTCCACCCTTCATTTGAAATAATTCATAGTCTCGAACAAAGAGATTGAGCCTTGTTTCTGTCACTTTGTTGGTTCCTTCATACGTGACCTCTAATTTATCCCACATTTCCTTAAAAGTTTCACGACTTGATATCTTTTCATATTCTTCTACACTAATATCATTATACAACAGATGTTTTGCTTTGGCATTCACTGTTTTGACGGCTGATTGTTCATCAGTGTAGTTATCTAAGTCAAGTGGATATGTTAATACTATGACTTGACCATTTTCATCTTTCTTTAGGGGACTTGGAAGATTTTCCTTTTTGATCACACACCAAATTTTAATGTCACATCACATAGTGTATGTTTAAATACATACTTTCTCATGAGAAAAGTGTTGCCCGTTGAAAGATGGAGGTCGTACCTGAGAGGTTCCTTCTTGAAATAGTGTTCCAACAACTGTGTTTGATCCCGTGATCTTTTTCTCACAAGCTGATATGCAAAGTTTGTGAGCCTTGTTCTGATACCAATTGAAAGTATAGGGGGAGGGGTTGAATTATACCAATTAAAATTTTAGTTGACTAAGTGTGATTTTAGTCGACTAGGTTTTACATAGACAATAGTTTCAGTAGGAATGAAATAAATGAATGGAAAGGTAAAGAAGGCACAACAGTTTTTATACTGGTTCAATACCGGTGTGGTACCTATGTCCAGTTCCCTGGGGTCAGAAGTGTTCTCTTAGATCTTTGATAAAGGATTATAATAATGATGATTTTAGTACGTTCACCATCAACGATATTCAACAATAGTGATTTTGTAATGTTGACACAACTCTCTTTTGTGTTCTAACTCTTTTTTTCTTTCTTTGTTTTTTCTTTCTTTCTTTTGTGACACTTGTAGACTTAAGAATACAGTGCTTGTACTAAGAACTAGAAAGGCTTAAAAAACAGTTTGTGTAGTTGCATGAGTCTTCTTATTGAGATTGGGAGACTTCTTGTATGAGAGTTTGGGAGCCATTGAAGATTGATCTTGATTGAGGAACTGAATTCTCTAAGAGACTTGACCCAAGGGATGCCTCCGAATCCTGCACTTGAAATGGGATGGATTCGTTTATGTCCTTCCCCTTTCATGTCCTCATTTCATGGAGTGATTTGAGGCTTCGATTTGGTTGGTCAATCTTCTAATATAGTCCTTGAGGAGATGT